AGGAGGTGGAGCTGACGGCCACGAGGTGTGGTCCCCTTGGTCACTGGTTATGTTCTGTATTATGCCCTTGGACTCTGCACTAGATTGATCTAGCCTTCATTCGGCACATTGTCATGCACAGACTCTGTGGGATGATGCTCCTAGCTCCAAAACATCATGGTTTACATGTGCCCAGGCTCAGAATTTCTGGAGAATTTTCCAGCTGTCTTTGTGGCTACTCTGATACTCAGTGGGGTCATTCACCTTCCAGTGCCTCGGGGATGCCTCCAGGCCTGTTGAGGATGCATGTGTACATTTCAAACTCCGCTCCTTGGAATGGAAGGAGAGAATATGGGGTTCCCTTAGAAAATGAAGGGGGACGGTTGCCGTTTTGGTTTCCTGGTTACAAAACTCGGGAGTTGCATACTTGACCTCTCGGGCACACATCAGTGTCAGGCAGGGCAGCTGGTGACCCTGGAAGTCGGGGGCATCCTGCAACCCCTGACCTCAGAGCCTTCTCCAGTGGCCCGATTCCTGCAAGTGTTTTCTGCCAGCACTCCAGGTGTGTGGTAGACACCCCACAAAGTCTTCCTCAAGACCTGAGTCCTGTGATCTTCACGTTTGAGAAATGCGGAGGGGTTTGGGGATTGAACAGATAGCCCCGTTCTTCTAGGTGACTCCCTGGTGCCATGGCTAATTCTACGACAGTTAACCTGAAAACCACCTCGGGGACATACAATGCTCCTCTTTTCTTGATGTTAAATTCAGTGGGTTGAGGTCCATGGAAATGCAAAGGGCTGGTGACCTTAATTCAGGGCTCAACGCCCTCTGAGGTCTGTAGTCAGTAGCATCAAGGTGATAATCTGGAAGTCTGTAGCCAGGAGACCATTTGAGCAGGGAGGCACTTGCCTCTGCTCTTTCTGCCACTGGACAACCTAGGCACATCATTTCAAATACCACTGATACAAACATGCAAAAAATCCATCCTCTGCTCTTCTTGCTTCTTGATGCTTTGAAATAACGAGGCTGAGTATCCTTTGACTGTTTGACAGACGTGTAGTCTGTTCATTTTAATTGTAGTGGAAGCCTTTTTAATTGTGTGAGTAGGAAGTTCCTGCAATAATAATCCCTGGGAAGGGAGGTGTTTTGTCACGAGTTGTGCTGACCATGGCTCAGCCCCCTTTGCTGCGGAGAACCTTTAGCAGCAACTCTGGTAGTTCAGTGAGGGTCCGTGCAGGTGCGTGCACCCGAGAAGGAGCTCCGCTGGCCCAGGTATGAGCAGGGGAGTGAGTCTCACTGTGTGCCTTATTGGTCCTGCTGGGACTTGTCTCAGGCAGCTAGGCTGTGACCTTCCAGGTGGCGTGCTCTGCAGCCCACGCTAGACCCTCAGATTATCAGCCTGCACCATGGAACCTGAAGATCCTTCTCAGAAGAAAATGCTGAGGTCCTTCTCTCCACCAGACCATTTCCTTGTGGAAAACAGAACCAGGAGATGACTTTGTCTTCCTGAAGCCAGAAGCTGAGCATCATTCCTCAGGCTCTGTGACTTCAGAACATGACATTCGTGTCTCAGAAAACTTATTTTTAGGGGCTCCTGGGTGGCTCAGTTGGTGAAGCATCTCCCCGTGTGGCTCAGGTCATGATCTCGGGGTCCTGGGATCGAGCCCCGCATCAGGCTCCCTGCTCAGCAGAGAGCCTGCTTCTCCCTCTCCTTCTGCCCCTCCTCCTGCTGGTGTTCTCTCTCTCTCAAACAAATAAATGAAATCTTAAAAAAAAAGTTTTTTTTAAAAACAAAGAAAACTTATTTTTAAACAAAAGAATCCTTTGGTACCGCACAGTTCAGAATGGGGCAAGATGATGGAGTATGTGAACATTTCCTCTATCAGCCGGTTTTGTGCCCACCAGATTTGCCACAGAGGGCCTCATGAGAGCCAGTTTTCCAAATCCTGAAATGTCATTCACCGAACTGAACCATTTAGTCTTGTGCGTGTATTTATTCTCCGTCCTAGCTCTTGGGGTGGGCGGAGAAAGCTCACCTTTCCATGAGGAGTTGCAGCAGGAGGGACTGGAGTTCCTGGGTGGTTTGGCCAGGGCGTGTGGAGCATCCAGGGGAATTTGCACAGTGCGCCCTGCCGGGTCACAGCAGAGCTGGGACAGCCTGTTGCTGTCGCCCTGCTGAGGCAGCCGAGCTCAAGTAAGTCCAGCTGTCTGGGGGGCACATCGGCCGGCCGGCCAAGAGGCTCCCCCAGCATCTCCCCTCAGCCGACATGGGCTCTGCCATGGGCACGTGAGTCTGACAGGAAAGTGGCAAGGCCATTAAGAAGGGGTCAGAGTGGGCATGTTCGAAGGACCAGGGACCAGGGACAGAATGGCCTGTAGGCCCCAGGCCTGTGCAGAGCCAAAGCATCTGAAGCCCGTGCCCCCAAGACACCTTTGCCCCGTTTCTGCCCTGCTCTACTTCCTGAGAGCCGGTGAACTGCCCTGTCGGCAAAGGACGGAATTGGCCCAACACCACCTAGTCGTGGGGCCACACATCCGAAGTGTGTTCACAAGAGGGACTTTCTGTGAGCTGTCCTCACGTTCGTGAGAGTCCTTCTTGGGAGCGTGATTGCTGCTTCCTGACTGGGAGCCTGGGACGGAACAGACGGCGGTGGAGGGACGTGTCCATGCCGGCCTGTTGGAGGCTCTGGGGTCATCAGAGAGACCAAGGAGACACTTCTTACGGGGTGACGTAACTTGGCACCTATCTGTGTTGCAGGAGGGTTGGAGGTGACGGGCTGAAGTCAGGTGTGGTCTGGCTTTTCTTGAAGAGCCAAAAAGAATCATTCGCAAGACCTTGTGACCGGGGAGGTGGTCACCATCCTGACAGCGCAGCCCTTCAGAGGATGGGCCCTCAACCGAGGAGGGGACATGGTCATCCCAAGGAAAAGGCACACAGGGAGCCCCGTGAGGGCTGGAGTCTACGTGCTTTATTCAGAGTCCTCCGGAGGTGGGATGCAGCTTCCCAAAGCCGGGGCAGCTGGAGGTAGCCATTCCCAAAGGTTGGGTAGGAGGCTCCATGCAGAGACGGGCCCGTGGAGGACCACAGCCCCAACACCATGTGGAGGGGACATCCGCCCGCAGGGTCCAGGCTCCGGGGTCAAGTGTGCGCTGGGTTTCGGGGGTCTCAGTGCTTGAAGGAGCAACACGAGTGACTTGGAGAGCAGGCGCCAGTCTTGCCTCCAGCGATGGGCCGGGGTGGGCAGAACTGTTTCTGCAGAGTGGGCTCGAGCTCTGAGGAAGAATTTAACAGATGGACAGGACAAGAAACCCCTTCCAGCTGAGGGCGGAGCAGGTGTGAGGCCTGAATTTCGGGCTGAACTGTGGCCTTCTGTCGTCACTCTCCTCACCTGCGTCCCAGCTCTTCCTCTGGGCTCCTGTCTTGTGTGCGTGATTACGTCACATTAGAAATCAGGAGCAGGTTCTAGAAAGTCAGGGTGCAGGAGAGCCCAGATGGGAGGCAAGCCCTCAGCATGGCCACTGGCCCCGGCAGGTCACGGCTGACAGCCCCGCACTCTCCTGCACCGTTGCTCACATGGCCTGGAGGGAGGCGGTCTCAGCAAGTTCTCGCTCACAAAGGAATGCCTTCCTGCCGCCGAACGGGGTCTCAGAACCTGTCTCGATGTTTGACAGCATGATACGCAAATTCACATTCGAGTGAATGTTAAAAACTCTACCTGAAGAAGCAGTGCATGAAGGAAAAGTACCTGAAACGGGTCCATCTGTCCGTCGGGTGCCAGCCCTCTGCGTCCCGCTCAGCGCCGCACGCGACATCAGGAGGCTGGTGGTGCACAATTCCACATAAGGATCGTGGCTTTCCCTGTGGGGTGGAACTGTGAACCACTTGAAAGACTAGTTTTAAGATGTCAGTGCTGCAGGGGCCCCTGGGTGGCTCAGTTAAGCTCCGGTCATGGTCCCGGGGTCCTGGGATCGAGCCCCGCTCCACGGGGGGCCTGCTTCTCCCTCTCCCACTCCCCCTGCTTGTGTTCCCTCTCTCGCTGTGTCTCTCTCTGTCAAATAAATAAAATCTTAAAAAAAAAAAAAATGTCAGTGCTGCGGACTTTACCTGCTGGAAACACCCCAGGTCATCCCGTGCTTTCCCAGCGGGACGCATGCCGGCAGAGTGACAGGAAGCCGTGGCTGGTCGGCCAGTGGTTCAGGCCACGTGCTGGGGGACTAAATGAGGGTGGCCTGCTCACCATGTTGTGATGTCTGGTTGTAGGAATGCCTGCTCTTTCCCGGCTCTTGTTTTCTGAATCAGAGCTGGTGTGACCGGTGGGCATAAAAAAAGCTGGCTGAGCGGACGTGGTCCAGGCAGCTGGACGTGGTCAGCGACCAGACCACGGGGTGGATGGTCCCAGGAGAGCCCCGTCCCACAGGGTCTGCCACATTAGTGCTGGTCATTCAGGGCTTCTGGACTCCATGTCCCGCGAGGGGGGTGGTCCGTCCAGCCCCGTGTCTCCGCTCTCAGACGAGGCCTGCTCAGGGTGCAGGAGGGTGGCAGGTCTTCACTGTGTCAGTCAGGACTGGGCGTCTAGCTCGCCCAATCACGCGACATCAAACAGGGCAGGGCCCTGTGCTCTGGGCATCTTTAAAATCAGGCTCCATGTCAAGTAGGAAGATGTTTGCTGGGTGCTTTCTGTTCTCCACGATAATCACGTCCCACGGTCATAGTCTTAGGGTCCTCTCAGGAGACCCGCTGCCTCAGCCACACCCGAGCGCTGTCCACGCTCCTCGCTTGCTCCCTTGCAGCAGACCGGGAGACAGAGGCCGAGCTAGCCAGCTACCCTGTTCAGGGTCCCACAGCAGTGAGTGCCGCCTGGGTGCAGCCCAGGCTCTGCAGACTCCTGTTCGCACCCCACGTTGCTGGTCATTCGGGGAGGTTCCCTCCGACCCAGAACCCAAGGGCGAGGCCACGTGTTGCCAGGAACGCAGCCGTCCTTCCTGGCTTTGTGACTTGTCTCCCTGTCGCCTCCCCCCAGGACGCCGGAAGCCAGCAGATTGGGTTCTTGCTCGGAAGCTGCGGAGTCACCGTGGCCTTAACAAGCGACGCTTGCCACAAAGGGCTGCCGAAAAGCCCGACAGGGGAGATTCCGCAGTTCAAAGGTACGCCGCCACCCAGAGCCTCGCTGGGGATTCCATGCAGGAAGGTCCTGCGCCTCCTCAGGTCCCAGACATGCTCTTGCACGTGCGGCCACCTCCTGTAACACGTGACCTGTCGCCTGCCGTGTAGCCCGTTGTAGCCGGTGGCGTCCGTGTGGCTGACGCGGTCTGAGGCTCGACGGCAGCACTGCAGGTCCCACCTGGCTTGTGGTGCTGTCACACGGGCCACGGGAAGGGGACGGGATGCTGCGGACCGGCGTTCTGGGTGACGCTCCCCTGAGTGGGATTGTTCTTTATTTCCAAGGTTGGCCAAAGCTGCTGTGGTTTGTCACCGAGTCAAAGCATCTCTCCAAGCCCCCTCGAGATTGGTTCCCACACATCAAAGATGCGAACAACGACACCGCGTACATAGAGGTGGGTCACAGGGCTGCACGCAGGCTCCTGACGGGTGGGCAGACTGCACTGGCTGTCCCCTCGGAACCCCCCGCCTGCACGGCATCCTCTTGTTTCAGTACAAGACGTGCAAGGACGGGAGCGTGCTCGGGGTGACCGTGACCAGGATCGCACTGCTGACCCACTGCCAGGCCCTCACACAGGCGTGTGGCTACACGGAAGGTACGGCCGGGCCCCGACAGGAGACTGCGTCCCTGGGCGGCGGGCGTGGGCCGGTGGAGGGATTGTGTCACGTCCCCACCCCCACAGTAGGATCGTGTGCATCCTGTTTGTGTGCGCCTCAGCAGCCGGTGCCTTCTTGTCCTTGCCAGGCCTCCCCCTGCGCAGGGAGGGACAGCTCTGGTGGATCTTCTGCTCAGGACGCCGGTCCTGGTGGGTCAGGCCCACCCCGGTGGCCTCACTTAACCGCATTTACCTCCACAGAGGCCCCGTCTCCAAGTTGCACCGTGCCGGGTGAGGGTTCCACCCGTGAAGTCAGGGGACACCGCTCAGGCTGTCACAGTTGATTCCATGAGAATTCATCCCTGGGTGCATGTTAGGGTCTTTTTGGGATCTTAGAGAAAAAAAAAAAAAAAAGCCCATGTTCAGCCCTCCCTAGCACCTCAGAATCTCTGATGGGGTTTGTGTGAGCTCCCAGGGGTGGGCGACCGCAGTCCCGAGCGTGGTTTTCATGATGCACATTCTTTCCCCTGAGCGGACGGAGGTGGGGTCACCAGAAGTAGCCAGGGCTCATAAATGGCAGGGTCCGCACAGATACCCTGCTCCCCCGGCTGGGGCTTCTGTGATCAGCTCCCTGCCCTGGGGACTGAGCGGCAGCCCCGCAGCTGGTGAACCGCCCTCCCCTGCGGAACAGGTGCTCTTCTCCTCATACTGTTCTCATTCTCTTGCTTTCTCCCCCCATCCTCCTGGTGATCTCCTTGGTAAAAAACAATCTGTTGGTGCCGTAGGAACGTTCTGGCTAATGTTCAGTCCCTGGACTAATTTCTAAGATGTTTTCCCATCGAGACACATGCCGCTGATCACTACCCCCCTGCTTGCCAGTGCTTTCCGTCTTAATTACGATGCTTCCTGTAACCTCCTGACCATACTCCCTGCCCTACTTCTCGGAGGTCCAGGGCTGTGGCTTTGACGGGTGTCACAGAGGAAATGCACACACGCACCCGCACGTGCTCCATACTTCTGAGTGTAACATGCTTGTAGAAAATGGGACAGAGGACATTTCCTTTGAGCGTGGCCTCCTGTCCGCTCTGTGAAGTGAGGCACACGATACCGAAACTGTGGCAAGCCTCACGAGAAGGAGCACGTAGCGGAGGGGTTGGTAAATGCCCTGTGCATGGACAAGGCGGTGTTGGGCCAATGCCCACATGGGTGGACAAGTGTGACTCCAGAGGCATAGCTCATGGCGTCACTGGCCCTCAGGTGGCCTTGTATTTTCAGCGCCCGTATCTTCCCCCGTAACACTGGAGCGCTCTTCTGTGTTACCCTTCCAAATCTTTGGTCTCCTTTGTGACCCCAACCCTGGCCTGAGGCTTCTACTGATGTTCATCCTGCGTTTGCTGGGAAGAGTTTCCCTTTCCTGGGAGAACCCATGATGGAAATGAAAAGAATCTTAAGAGGAAAGGACAAGGCAGGGAGGGGGAGTAAGTCCACGAAAAGGAGGAATGAGGTGCTTTAAGTGAGGTGCGAGGAGCTATCACTGTGGACATGCGTGTCCAGAGATTACCCAGAAACGTCTCCAGGCAGGTGGCCCGGCGTCTGCCCTACCAGGGCCTCTCCTGCCCCCGAGGTGACACTGGATTCCCTTGGTCTGTGCGTCTGGTGGGAATACATGTCTTCTGTTTCTGTCTGTGCAGCGGAAACCATAGTGAATGTGCTGGATTTCAAGAAGGACGTCGGGCTCTGGCATGGAATTCTGACCGTAAGTGAGACCCCATGGATGCTGGCTGTGCTGCGTGCCACGGCGGGAATTAGGGTCTGTGTGCAGGGGTCAGCCCCCTCCTCCCGCATGGGGAGAAGGGCCGTGACTGTTAGCAGCCCTCAGCTCTCCGAGAATGTGACTCCCAGTGCCCGGTCCCCTCCGCGGGAGTGAGCACACGGACCCCTCCCGTCCCCCCGACCCCCACAGGAGTGAGCATGTGGACCCCCCGAGGCCCTGTCCCCCCCACGCCCGCGGGAGTGAGCACGCAGATCCCTCCTGTCCCCCCCACCACGGGAATGAGCACGCGGACCCCACCAAGGCCCCGTCCCCCCCACCCCCGCGGAAATGAGCACGCGGACCCCTCCCCAGGGGCTCGCGGGAAACAGCATCTTTCCTCCCCGCTCCTGGCGTTCAGACTGCAGTGATGTTACTCACGTCTTGGGTTCGGGGCACTTTTCCCTTGCGTGTGATTTGGCTGTGATGTTCTTGCTCTTTTTCCTTTCTGTGAGTCTGTGTTTGTGAATATTGTGGAAGGCAGCTCCGTTATGCTGCAGGGGGACCTTCTTACGGGTCTCCCCATGGTGACAGTTCTCCTGTGCCCCATCGTTGTTCGTGCCGTCTGATGAGGGAGGACGGTTCGAAGCTGCAGCGGGTCTGTGGACACACAGCCTTGTTATTTAAGACGTGCTCAGCCCTTAGCACATGCACAGCGTGACTGCTCGCGGGCTGGCCGTGTGTGCCCTAGATGATCTCCACTCCCTGCTTCTCTAAGCTTGTGCTGGAACTGTGTCTTTGCAGAGGTGGAAAATTCTAGTGGCTTTTGCCTGAGTGATGGGACATAAATACAGAAAGCAGGATTTGTGGTTTCTCGGGCAAAATTTGTTAGGAGGAGGGCACATGAGCTTCGTCTAGACTGCTCTTGGTTCCCAGTGTGGAGCAGGGAGCAAGCTCGTGACAGGCCCAAGCCCGTTGTGTCCTCACATCCAGCCTGGCGGGGTGGGGTGCCTCTCCTGCTAGCATTTGGCAGTCACCCCCATGTGTTGCTTGCAGAGTGTCATGAACATGATGCACGTGATCAGCATCCCATACTCGCTGATGAAGGTGAACCCCCTCTCCTGGATTCAGAAGGTCTGCCAGTACAAAGGTACGTCTCCAGGGCCCTCAGGTGTGTGGTTCCCTCTTTTTTAATATCTCACAATCTGATGGTGTGCTTATTAATGCCCTGCTCTCCACTGTTCCCGCAGCAAAAGTGGCTTGTGTGAAATCCAGGGACATGCACTGGGCACTAGTTGCACACAGAGATCAGAGAGACATCAACCTCTCTTCCCTCCGGATGCTGATCGTGGCCGACGGTGCAAATCCCTGTAAGTGACCCACCTGCTCTGCCTGGAGGTGCAGCCGGCAGCCAGAGAGAGCCTCGTTCTCCACGTCCCGTTTCTGCACTTTGCTTTTCCTTTTCTAGTCGTTGCCCTGGTTAGGAAGCTGCCTTAAGTTAATGACCTCCCAGTGTGACTCACCGAAGCCTCGAGGCAGCACACTCAGTGGCGGGGAGCCAGGAGCCTGCAGGCCCACAGCCCTGGGCTCGAGGCCTGGTGTTTCCACATCCTGATTCCATAGAGAAAAATCCTAACTTTCTCGTTTTAATGCTTCTCTTTCTTTAGCTGCAAAATGGTACCTAAATCATAAGATTTTATGAGGATTAAATGAAGTGGTTCCTCTGTCTTGGGATGTTTTGTGCTCAGGAAATAGTAACTATTATTATTATTTTTTTAAATGTTTTATTTATTTATTCAGGAGAGTCAGAGAGAGAGAGAGAGAGAGAGGCAGAGGCAGAGGGAGAAGCAGGCTCCCCGCCTAGCAGGGAGCCCGATGCGGGACTCGATCCCAGGACCCTGGGATCATGACCTGAGCCGAAGGCAGACACTTAACCATCTGAGCCACCCAGGCGCCCCAACTATTATTGTTTTATGGTCTAGAGTAATTTTATTGATCAGGGAAGTAATTTTTCATTTTAATGGAATTTTGTTATCAAATCCTATAGGAAACACCACCCAGGTAAAGCAAATTAGCAGTCCCATAGAATGCCGTTAACCTACCTTGAGAAATACCACTCTGGGTTGAAACAAAACGCAGCTAGCTTGTTTTTGATGAGAGTGAGTGAGCCAGAAGCAGAGTGAGTGAAGGAGAGCATGTGTTTCTGTCCATCTGTAAACGGTGCCACGTGTACATTTGTAAATTAAAGCAGCACATACTTTCTCAGGGAAAATCTGATAACGCAAATGGGGGCTTGCAATCAGAGGATTTAGTATACATGGTTCTTGCATTTCCCAGAGAACTCCGTGAATTGCGAGCTGCTTTAAGGCATCTGGTTTGAGCCATCTGTCTGCTGAAACCAGGCTGACCTGTGTTAGGAAGTGGTCTCACGGGTGGGCGCCTGGTGGTGACTCCCCCGATCTCACCAGGTGCACTGATACAGGAGAGAGTTTTCTTCGCTTAGTTTAGACATACTCATCTCGGAGACATGCATATGGAACATGGCGGAGCAAGCCTGGGGGAAGGCTCACAAGCTCATCGGCCGCAGAAACATTTAAATACAGAGGTTACACTTGTAATCCTTGAGTTCTGTTGGCCTGAGAGGATCACCTCTCACGGTAACGTGAGTAGTTAGCGGTACTGAATGGAGCATGTTTCCACGCAGCCGGCCTCAGCCCCACCTGAGAGGCGGGAGTGGTGGGGTGGCCGCGGTCGACCCCATGCTTCCGCAGGCTGACTGTCACCCCTTCCGCCTGCAGGGTCCATCTCGTCCTGTGACGCATTTCTCAACGTCTTCCAGAGTAAAGGCCTGCGTCAGGAGGTCATCTGTCCATGCGCCAGCTCCCCAGAGGCTCTCACCGTGGCCATCCGGAGGTACAGCTGGGCCCTGCAGGGCCAGCCCAGGCGGGGGGCTGCCCGCTGCAGCTCACATCCGCGGGGCAGGGAGGGCAGGACCCAGACTGTTGGGGACCAGCTTTGTTTCCTTGCATGCGCAGGAATGGGCCCTTCAGGGTGGTCCACATTCGCTAGTCAGAAACCCTCTCTCCCTCTGGGCAGTGACCCTGTCTCCCAAGTAAGTGGACGCCCATGTGCTCTCACCCACATGTTCACGTGCCAGCATCTGGGTCAGGTGTTATTCTGGGGCGGGTTGGGTGCATGCTGTCTGGTTTGAGTGCAATGTTTGCAGCCGGGCCTGTGGACATGCCCAGTGCACCACGACACCCTGAATTTTTAAAAACCCTGGTTTTCTGAGCTGTCAAGCTGTGGATGGCCCATTGCAGGGCTCCAGTGTGCACGTGGGTGCAGGGCCTGCACTGCTCATGCCCTCGTGGTGGGTCAGTCCGCCGCGCACACCGTTATGGGCGCCATGGTTATGGCCGCATGAAGCTGGTCCCACCCAGGCTGAGAGGTGCAGGGAAGGCCTCTCTGATTGTCACCCGCCGTCCACCATTCTCACAACGTGGGAAGGGAGCGTTGGCATCATCTGGGTATTTCCAGCTCGGGATCTGACTTGTTTTTCGGTATCTTTGCGTCCATCCGCTCATGAGGTTTTGCTCTGCGGCACAAGAACATGCTCCACTGTAGGAGGCGCATGTGAGTTCCGCCCTGTTACCGACAAGCTGGGCTTCCCAAAAGTACTCACCGGGAGATTGTTTGTAAATGAGGTGCTTTCTCACAGTTTTAGCTGATAGTGTAAAATTAGCCAGACTGTCTAACGGGCTGGGAAATCAAAAACCTTTAGCATATCAGGAGCAAGTTTAATTTTGATTGAACCAGAAATCAGAAGTCCGTAACAATTTAAACTGATGAGGAAAAATGGCACCATGAACCACCTTTGTTAAAAGGTGTCACAGCTGTCCTAGCAGGAGGCGCTTCCCAAACAGTACCCCGAGTAGAAGTCTGGCCTCGGACAGAGTGCTGGAGGCCGCGCTGGTGGATGGGCTGGCACCGCGTTCTTCCGAGATCAGGATTCAGCTGTCCGGGTGCAGCCCGGCCACGACCTGGCCACAGGGTCCCGGGCGGCTCCTCTCTCCGCGGCCTCCACGGCCTCCCACCTGAAAGTGTTAGGGTTGCGTCGCGGTGTGACGTAGCGCCGTTGCCACAGGTAAGTCACAAGGTAAGGGACTGAGACACGTGGACACTCCAGCTGTTAGCGTCCGATGGTGTGATCGTGTGCTCTTTCTAGAAATCTGTTCTCTGTATGTTAGGATTATGGAGTATGCCAGAGTTGATTGGCACAGGGAGGAGTCAGTAAAGGACTTGTAATTGTTTCTCTAAAAATGTCGAAAAATCGTTAAAATCTTCAAGAAGATTAAGAAACAGGCAAATTAAGCGCTGCTGTTTCCTGGGCTCATGTTCAGTGGCCTCCAGTACACTTCCCCTGGGGTCAGCGGCTGTACACGTCCCCGCGCGTTGCCATGCGTCCCCGCGTGTACCTATGCTACGCACGCATCCCTGTATGTCCCTACATGTCCCCATGTAACCCTATGCTCCCTAATGTCTCCATGGTCCTCACACATCCCTGCGTGTCCCTGCACGTCCCCACGCAACCCCTGCACAGACCTGCCTTGGCTGAGTCTGCACCGTTATCGGGCTGGGAGGGGTGGTTTCAGAGTGCCTTGACCTTCACTACCGGAGCTGGTAGACATTGCTGCTCCTGCGTGTGAGGCAGTGGACCGGCCAGCTCCCGCTCTGAGCAGAGGAGAGGGCAGTCATACTTGCAGAGACACGAGTCCACCAGCCAGCCTTGCTTTGAACTAAGTTGGCTTCTCTCACAGCCAACCACAGCCTGGCGGCCACTCTCACATCCTCAAAGTCTCATCTGCTATTTCCCAATTAGCTGGTAGAAGAGCAAGGAGCCAGGACAGGGCAGCGGATACCAGTGAGCTCAGAGAGAAGCTCCCTCTTTCCTCAAACACCATTGATTGACAGGCAGAGTGATTTCACGGTCGTCACCCCTACAGTGAAAAATACCATACAACTGAAAGGTGCATCAGTAACACGAAGAAACTCTCGGTTTCCCTAACATATAGTCTGTAATCCTTGCTTATACTCTGGTTTACAGACTTTGAAATAAAGTGGTCTCTGCCTGGTGGCTCACCCTGAGCTTTTTTCTAAATGAAGACACCATCTTCTCCCAGAGAATCCTGGGCTCGTTGGCCACCTTCCGGGTCTCTCCGCAGACCCACCACTCTTTCAGTGCTCAAGAATCACAGGAATGCGCGTTAACTGCTCATGGCTGCGTGTCTGGAAGGGGAAGTGAGAGACTCACATTGCTGGGACCCACTTACCACAGGCAGAGCCCCATTCCCACCTCATGCGGGTCAGTGGTGGCTCGAGTGTTGGCCTCTGGCGGGTGCAGCAAAGTTGCTCCAGAGGAACAGCTGAGCCTGACATCGTCTGTGCCGCCCTATCCTTGCCGAAGCCGTGAGGGTTTAAATGTGTCTGTTCATTTTGCCGTGAAGCTTCCAGGCTGCCTATTTCAGAATAAAGATACGAGCCCTGTGCTGGGGGATGGCCCCATGGGGATAGCCCAGTGTGTCCTGAGGACTCTCGACGGCCCGCTGGCCCTGGGCCTCATGGTCACTCCTGGTGACAGTGAAGTGTGACCCCTTCCACTTTGCTCCTACATAAAGCAAGGGGCCATAAGATCCACAGGGAAAAGGTCTAGTTTTAATGCTAAGGTATTTGTGTTTCCCTATTGACGTATTGGTTGTAGCCAAATAAAGATAATTTTGGAAAAGATCCTTGTAAGAAATAGAGGGTCTTTATACATTATGGTTTCATCCCTTCGAAGCGCTCACAAGCACATAAATGTCTCTGCACCGTTCACACTGTCCTTCTTGGTTTCACATCTGTGCCTGTGACCAAAATCGAAGTAGAAGGATATTCTAGAAATCTAGACTAAAATCCCCACAAAGACACCTGAAGTGAAGAAGCAGAGGAAGCAGGCTGCAGGTAACATTAAAAATCGTGCTGCAGTTCTTAAAACCAGTGCTTTTGGACAGTGCCTCGTGTGTCTTGGCTGAGTGACTTCATGTCCTGGAGACGTCCTGGGTCCTGGGGAAATGCGGCCTCTGATTGCACGCTACCTCCCAGAGCGGATCCGGAGAACAGCACCCTGCTCAGTCCTGTGCACACGGGTGAGGAATCGTGCCGTGTGGGCCGAAGCCGCCGGCAGGCCCCTTATGCTGAGAAGCTGCGTGGTGGTGCTCCGGTGGGACTTGGCATCACAGACTGCGTCCTCACCTCTGGGAGAGAATCTGTGGGTCCCGTGGACACAGTTCAGGCTGCACTGCAAGACCGGGCAGCTGGTGGGTGTCCACCAGATGCGTGCTGGGGCATCACGCCCCTTGTGTTGTCTGCCCAGAGCAGTATAGATTCAGGAGAGTTCTTTTAAAAAGTGTCATTGTGATTTCAAGGCCACCTTATGCAGCAGAAAGAGGCAGGTCTTTACAGTGACTGACTCTCTGTCGTGTCCCCATGGACCAGTTATCCTCTGAGACCCTCGATTTCTCCACCCACAGAGGAAGAAAATATGAACTGGTATGTGTGCTAACACATGTGCACAAACACCCCGGTCCCTGATGTGTCTGCTAACCCGTGCACACACCCCCAGTCCCTGATGTGAACACGCGTGTCTGCTAACACGTGCGCACACCCCGTCCCCAGTGTGAACACGGGTGTCTGCTAACACGTGTGCACACACCCCCTGTCCCTGATGTGAACACATGTGTCTGCTAACCCATGCGCACCCCCCAGTCCCCGATGCGAACACGTGTGTCTGCTAACACATTCGCACACCCCGTCCCCAATGAGAACATGTGTGTCTGCTAACACGTGTGCACACACCCCCAATCCCCGATGTGAACACCTGTGTCTGCTAACCCGTGCGCACACCCCCAGTCCCCGATGAGAACACGTGTGTCTGCTAACACGTGTGCACACACCCCGGTCCCCGATGTGAACATGGGTGTCTGCTAACACGTATGCACACACCCTGGTCCCCGAGGAGAACATGCATGACTGCTAACACGTGTGCACACACCCTGGTCCCTGATGAGAACATGCATGACTGCTAACACGTGTGCACACACCCCCAGTCCCCGATGTGAACACCTGTGTCTGCTAACCCGTGCGCACACCCCCAGTCCCCGACGTGAACACGTGTGTCTGCTAACCTGTGCGCACACCCCCAGTCCCCGATGTGAACACGTGTGTCTGCTAACCCGTGCGCACACCCCCAGTCCCCGACGTGAACACGTGTGTCTGCTAACACATTCACACACCTCCTGTCCCCAATGAGAACATGTGTGTCTGCTAACACATGTGCACACACCCCGGTCCCCGATGAGAACACGTGTGTCTGCTAACACGTGTGCACACACACACAGCCGGTGCCTTGCCCTGGTCGTCAGCCCTTGGCCCAGCAGCTTGCAGTCTGAGCCCTCACCCCCCACCCACCACCCCCACCGCAGGCTGCGTAGCTTCTCCCTGTCCACGAAAACTTAGGTTAGATCCAGAACTGTGCAGAGACTGGACACTGATTTCCATGTCTTAGATTTTGGCCACTGTCCTGGCGACTCAGTTCCCCTTTCATGTGGGAAGGAGGGTGGCAGGCGGAGTGCACGTGGATTTCAGTGCAAGCATCCTCCTCCAGCAATGTGTGCTCCCACTTTCCTTCAGAGAAGCTGTGTAAGCACAGTCCGAACCCCTGGCTGCCCCACCTCCCTGCCGCCCGGCCCCCTCGGTGTCAGCTCGGCTGCAGGAGTGCACGCTGCTCCCAGGCCTGGCCGCACTGCCTCCCTTCCTCCGTGCCGCCCAGCCCCGGCCTCCTCACTGTCCCCCAACGGCAGGCCCAGGAGCTTGTGCTG